TCAGCTCATCTCAGTTTGGATTCAAGTAGGGATTTAATTTTAGAAAATTCCTGTGCATAATTTCAAACAAGTAAGACTACAAGCGATTCGAAACTGGCTCAACACAGTGTTGCCAACTGATGGGATGTGGAAATACCTAGATTTGAAAAAAAATGTCCCTAGAACTCCCTAGAATTTATTTTTTTCAAATTCATTTTAGAATTATTATAACAGTCCAAATAATAATTGTAATATGTGATTTATACTTGCAATTCACAAGAAAAAAAATTATATTTTCAAAACTAATCGCAATAATCCTCAAGTTTTTAAAAAACAACATAGAATTTCCAAAGCAATAAAACATTGTTATGACGGCACTAGTGGGGTGGCGACAGTAGCTTTGTTTTGGTTCAAAATTTGGAATTTGGAATGGTTGTGGGATTGCGCAGAACTGCTTGCGCACAAAAAATAATTGAGGAATGTTTAAATACTATGTAGTTCTGAACCGATTCCAACCAGAACTTGCCGCAAATCACAAAATCCCAAAACAGTTCCTTCTTCAGAGCAAGAACTGAGAGAACCGTTCTAGACCATCCGAGAATTGTTCTTAAGTTAGTGACGACAGACTGTTAACAACTGTCTTCTGATTCGACGCGATTGTTGCGGGAATCCCCACACACATCACGTTACACGAAAGGTTAAAAGCACTTCACAACATACAAAAATGTTACTGTTGTATGCTGTATGTGATTACTCAGACGAACCAATAATAAAGTCACTTTTTTTAAAAAAAAATATATAATATTGTACGGTATCCGCCAAAATAAACAGTACCGAAATCTAGAGCTCTGAGGAATTGCGTACGCAAGTTGCATTTATCATATTTTGCTTACTTGGCATTAGTTCTGAGGTTGACATTAAGTTAAGGTTAAAATCTTCGTCATTATGTATCTTTCAACTTAAGGAACAGTTTTCTTAGTAAAGCACTATTTCCGGTCATACGGATTTGGAAGGAATAAAGGCTCAAGTTTGAAACAAGTCTCAGAAAAATTTCAGCAACCACTCTTAATAAATATTTTCAATGATTTCCAGAATTGTTATGAAGCTCTTTTGCGTCGCTATGATGCATTTTTTGAACATATACGCATGATTCAAATAAATAAATGATGTAATTTATATGTTCGGTAGGTACTGTTTATTTTGGCGGATACTGTATAATATATATTTATTTATTTTTTTATAATTTATCAAATTGTATAAGAAAAATTAAAAATATCAGTAAACCCCCTAGAATTTCCCTATATCCCTAGACAATTTTTTTTTGCATATTTATCCCTAGAACTAGGCAGAAATCCCTAGAGTTGGCATCACTGGCTCAACAAATTATCCGAGATGTCCTGTGCTCTATCAGAGATAATGTTAATTTTGTCCATGAACTATATAGACGAGCACCTTTACTAAATTTCAATAATGTTGTAGCAATAAGAAAAATGGTAGCAGTATATAAAGATTTATTTCAAGGGAGCGTTACGGAGCTACCTCCATTTGCTCAGGCACCTGATGAAATCACAAAGAATCAAATTGATTTGTCTGATCATGGCAGAATTGGTAGATTAAGGAATGATTCTGCTACCTGCTTATAATTTTTTTTTTCCATAAAATTTATTTTAAATTAGGCGTGGATTTAGCAATGAGGCCCCCTTGGCGCCGGAGTCCCTGGGCCCGGGCCCAGCGGGCCCATGCCTTAAGACGGCCCTGCACGAACTTTGACAAACAAAATTTAACTTCTAATATTATAGAGATTTTAACGCAAAACAAAACACGTAGGTAACCGTAATCGAAAAATGCCTTGTACTTATCTCTTCAATACTCAATTCGAGACTAACTGGCACAACAAAAATAAAAATACATTTCTTCTTGAAATCTAAAAAATAGGTAAAGTAACAAAGGAAAGCAGCGAGCAAGTCTCGACCTGCGAAAGGACCACAAAAAATAGTAAACACATTGGTACGGCGCGGCGTTGCCGTTGCCAAAAATAAATTACATTTTTCCTGTCTAAATAAATGTTCACTGTCTCGGACATATATTGTGTCTTTGTATTTACTATATTCCTTTTACCCGTTGAGTTACTCGGAGCTGCTCGATGTCAAAAGCTTGAACGTTCCTTTTAAAAGTGCGTTAAGCACTCGAGTCGCTCATAGTGCATCCCCCTTTCCCCTGATGCACCAAATTTGTTGGGGGTGTAAGAAGCCCTTTCAGGTATTGTTTGCCCAGTGGATCTGAGTCTACGGAAGGAATTCGGACGTGAATGTGCCATGTTGCCACGTTTAATTATAAAAAAGCGAAAATACTAGGCGTGAAGTATAGTTAATTTGAAAATACATTTTTTAATAACAAAATATTGATAACAATAATAAAACGCTAAATATTTTAACGTGGTTGTTAGATCTATCCTTTTTTTAATCATGATTTCTTCAGTTTGGTCTATTGTAAAAAATAAACATTTTCTAAAGATACCATCAGCTTTTGACAATTTGGCAAGCATCTGTCCTGGATGAACCTGATTGGTGGAGTTTTTGGCAGGATCGCCGTTGTCATGAGGAACCATACGGTTGTCAATAAACTAACGTCACCTTACGTTTCGCTATTGGCCAGGGCTTACGTCATTTTATCCTCCCATCTTGGAATATCGATTTATATTGAAATATCCAGTGGCGGAGATTTGGTCATTGCTGATTTTCGTGTACGAGTTGCAATACGATAACACTTCCAAAAAGTTCCGCACGCAGCTGGGTATTTTATGAATGAAATCTGCCATTTTTTTTACAACTGCATTCCCCTTACCGTTGCCCCGTAGACATAGACTCGCTGGGCAGACATTAATGACGGTAACGTTCATATTAAAAAATAATGATAAAATCTGAATTCACCATATTAGTTAGGTTAGAATCGCAAATTGGCGCGGGTTCCTAGTTCAAAAATTAATACATTGATGTCTTATGGGGACTCAATTTTAAAAGCGTCTGTAGACGTGACAGAACGTTTGTTAGGGAAGTGAGTTGTATAAATAGTTTTTTTAATATGTCAATTAACTGAGAGAGTGTTTGAAAGTTGAGTAAACATTGTTAAAATAAAAATATTACCAATTTAAGAAGCCGATGTTTGTATAAAATACGTATGTCGTTGCTTGATCCATAAGTATATATATGGGTACCTATAATTATAATAAAATAAAAATGTACCTACATACTTGGTTAGTAAATGTACTTCAATAATCCAAAAAAATGGAAAAACAAATGACTGAACTAGTGATAAATAAATAAATAAACAATTCACCAACAATCATAACACAACACACAACCTCACTTTCTTACGGCTGGTTTTAGACCCGACGTACGTCCACCGAAAACAGACACTGTTAATTAAAATCATTTGTATTTTTAATTCATAGGTCTAAAAAAACAATTAGAGCATGAATTATAGAGAAATATGTTCAAAGTTTGACGTATAATAAGTTCAAATACTAAGAAGTGCCCAGAACCCAAGATATTCCCGTCTGAAAATCACTCTTTTGAATCCCCTATAAGAAATACATTGCTGTCAAATTTGTTGAAATGTGTAGGAACCCATTTTAAATTTCGCGCCCGATTTTTCCTAACCTAACTAATATGGTGAATTGTGTGTTTTGGAGTGACTCCGAGGAGCTCGTTTGGTGTAACTCGATGTATAAAAGGAATACAGTATTTAATTCTTTCTATTGCTTTTTGATGTGACAAGATCATACTTAACATCTTTGAAACATCACAGGCATATCTACAGTTTGTATATTCTTTTATTTCTGACTGACATTCTTCACTTTTATGGTTTTTATTACACAAAGGACAGACAATGGCTTCTTGACGACAAACAGCAGCTTTATACCCATATTTTCAACATTTATAATATCTAGAAACTCCTAAATGCTCATATTAGACTATCCTAATCCAAAAACACTCTTCCGCAGCTCAATAGGCTTCCGAAGACTTCTGATTATACTTTTAACAAGACATTATGCCTTTTAGGAATTTTCCAATTTTTGAGACTGTCCTGGCTTTCGATTTTTTAAAAAAATATATCCTCTTCCCAAGATGTTCCTCTCTAACACCAACAACAATAATTTTAGAATTTATAGCTTCGCCACTGCCTTATTTAGGGGTTTCTGCAATGATTCATTATTCTTGGATTCTTTATTGCACCGATAAAGGTTTTATGTTTCTTTCCAAAACATTTTTAGTTGTTGCACTATCTTGGTTCGCATTTTTCGGTTGAACTTATTATCAATGGTAAATTCCTTTTGACGACACTTGACCATTGTTAATTTTTGTTAACTACAGATATATTTCCCATATTATTTTTAAGAATCGTGTTTGTACTTTCCTTACATTTTTTCACTTGTTTTTTCCATTTCGACAGGTCTTTAGCAAGATACAGCTAATTATAACTTCATCAACCTCTCAATCAACACAACAGTCATTACAGACCCAAAACAGATTCTTACACTCACCAATTGTTTCAACTGATCCTTCAATTTGGCACACTGGACATGATAATTTTCACTACACGCAAGTAAAGAATTTTTGATTTGTTTAAGCATAAAAACTATGATAAAGCTACAATATAAATAAGCAATGTAAAAGGCTAATAATCAAAGTTTAATATATTAATTTTTGTTCACTGATATAAATAACAGTTTATTCGACATGTATCAAGCCTCATCATTTGAATCAAAACCTCAAGAGTTTGTTTTCAATTCACAAGAACCTGTAACTAATTAGTCGAATTTCCTTTCATCTAAGAATTATTCAAAGAGACACCTATGCCAGCACCTACAGGGTTGGTTAGTTTACGCCAATTCTACTTAATAAACGCCTATAAGTAGGTACTATATTGCCCTATCGTCCATTTATAGTTTATACATTAGTTATTTTGATAATCACCATTTTTTTTTTTTTTTGTCAATCAATAATTATTGTTGTTTTTAGAGCAAATACTGCAAAGTACAATCACTCCACAACAACAACCATCCCTGGCAGTATTACCACCAGTTGATTATTTTAGTTCTCCACATCAACCCACTCCAGGCACATGTTCCAATCAAGAACCTCAGGAGTTTGCGGTCAATTCTCCACAAGAATCGGAAGCTGATCAATCAAATTTCACTTCAGTACTGTCATCATTTACGAGTTATTTGCGTATTGGTGCTGGCGACTGTCAGCAACGAGAAGTGCAGACATTTGAAGAGGCACCCGTACCAGCACCTGCCCAATTGGATACTTTTAAATGTCAGGATATTTCTAGTGCGCCTACAGTGCCGTTATTTAATGCCACAGCTTCGATTACACAATGCAGTGGTGCACTCGCAGTCCCAACAGGTAATACAAAGATCAGTCTTCATAATTATTTTATTATTTGTAGCAAGTATTGGCAACTAATTATTTATCTACGACCTGAAATCGTGTTCATTGTACTTTTATCGTAGGTTTTACTCAGTTTTGAAGTTTATCAGGTTGCCAGGTTTAATTTTTGAAATTTGAAAATAAATTGCATGAATACAGTCGACCTGACAATTATTATTGATAGACCTGAAAAGTATTCAAAATTAATATTGTTCAGATTAACCTAGTTAGGTGAAATATACTTACAGAATATCAATATACAAGTTGCCTTACTCTTTGGAGATCATCTGCAATCAGTTCCAACACCTAGGTCGACCTAGTCCTTCCAAGGGACATAGGCACAGATCACCTAATATAGATGCGTAAGTAAGTATCCTTGCCGTCGACGATTCAAAGCTACGAAACCACGGCTCCGCAAGCCAGACGCATAGGCCTCAGGACAATTAACGCGGCCGAGTGCGTGAGCGTGTTCCAGCCTGCTGTGTTTACATATTTTTGCGGGTATTTAATGAATAGCATTACAAAAATATTCATGTGACACGTGTTTATTTTTCCAAAGAATTTGAAACTATCGACAAAAACAAAGTATACATATTTTTGTCGTTTTTTGATGATGTTTTGAGCAATTTTTTAAAACTGAAATGAGCAAAATCAACTTTATTCCTCACCTTACAGACTTTCCCAAAATATAATATGTAATTGAGTTATTTGTTAAAAAATAATCAACCGTAAAATAAAAATAAAATATTGAACCATTTTGTAAACTCAGATACAGGGTGTCCCACAATCAGCGTTACAGGCCATAGCTTTCTTATTTTTAGAAATAAAAATTTGAAAAAAAAAATGACTAATGGTTAGGTAGTTAAGCTCTCTTCAAAACTATAAAAAAATCTTCCCCTGACAAAATCATCCCCTATTTACAACCCTTCACTTTTTTTTTTCAAATGGCACCCCTAATTTTATTTTTTATTTTTGAGAAGTTCATGAAATTGCAAATTCAATGATGTATGAAAAGTTTGTTTTTTCATGTTTAGTTGGAAAAAAAATCAAAAATGAAAATAATAATAATGGGGTTCTGATGTTTGAAAAGAAAGGCAAGAGTTGTTTTTAGGGGATGAGTTTGTTAGGGAAGATTTTTTTAATATTCTTGAAAAGGGGTTAATTTGCACACAATTAATTTTTTTTGTCATATTTTTATTTTTGTAGACAAAAATGTGATTGCCTGTATAAGACTAAGGGTGGGGTGGGACACCCATTTTTTTTCCCCAAGAGACATGGAGAAACAAACTTTTTATACAGCATACAAAGGACCCCGCAATATTTAAATGGAAATTGGTTACCCGTGATATTTTGATGAAATTTAAATATGTTATTGGGGATGCCGTAAGCAACATTTTTTACCATGGGCACAACCCTGTATATATGACAGGTGAGGCGTGGTTAGCTGTCAAATATTGGAATCTTATATTCAAAAGCAGAGTGACTATGGCAGATTTTGATGAACGAAGTATCGATGTCTACTAATAGCGATTTCCATTTGTCGAACCAGTGCAAAAAAAATGTATCCTTATCCTTACATGTTTCATGGTTTTAGAAAAAGATGCAGATACACTCAGTGCGCACTGACTGATAAATGGAAATCGCCATTAGTCGACCAAGTTAAGTCGAAAAATGTCAACCATTTTGACACCTGTCAAAACCCTGCCAAACGGCAGCACTTATCTTTTCCCGTTTTCAATATTTTATGACGTCATTCAACATTTTTTACTTGTAAGTAAATTCTGAATTCAAAAATTAAAAAAATATATGACGGACTGTCAAAACCTGTCATTTTTTTTTAGTAGAAAAAAAATACTCTAATCTAGTTTTTTTTTGTTTCAAGGTAGTTTATTGGTGATAAAACATTAAACAAAGTTAATGCATGTCACATTTTGACAACTAACAGATTCTGACAGTTCTCAAAATGTGACATGCATGAACTTTGCTTAAAGTTTTATCACCAATAAACTACCTTGAAACCAAAAAGAACCAGATTAGAGTATTTGACAGTTCTGTAATTTTTTTTCAATTTTTGAATTCAGAATTTACATACAAGTTAAAAATGTCAAATGACATCATGAAATATTAAAAACTGAAAAAGATGAGTGCTGCCGTTTGGTATAGTTTTGACAGGTATCAAAATGGTTGACATTTTTCGACTTATCTTGGTCGACTTAGTAGAAATAGATTTTTTGATCATCAAAATCTGCTATAGTTACTCTGTTTTTGGATATAATATTCCAATATTTGACAGCTAACCACGCCTCACCTGTCATATTTACAGGGTTGCGTTCAAGGTAAAAAATGTTGCTTAAGGCATTTCCAATAACATATTTAAATTTCATCCAAATATCACGGGTCACCAATTTCCATTTAGATATTGCGGGGTCCTTTGTAATTTCATAAGCTTCTCAAAAATTAAAAAAAAAATAATAGGGGTGCCGTTTGAAAAAAAAAGTCAAGGGTTGTAAATAGAGGATGATTTTTTCAGGGGATGATTTTTTTATATTTTTGAAGAGAGCTTAATTAGCCATTAATATTTTTTTTTGTTTCAAATTTTTATTTTTGAAAATAAGAAAGTTATGGCCTGTAACGTTGATTGTGGGACACCCTGTATATTTTTTGTGATTTGCCGCAGAATATTTGCGTCATCGATCGCATGATTTCTTGTTGTTTATATAAAGAATATTTTTTTGTTTGTTTGTGATCCAATTAAAAAAATATTATATTATTGAGCTTCCGCTTTTCAATATTGAATATGTTCAAAATTTATTGATGCGGCATTGTGCGGCCAGCATATGTCCGCCAAATCAACCTTGAACCAAGAATTCGCCGCTCTTTCACATCTGTATGTAGGTGATCTGTGACACAGGAATAAACATGGCTAGGGCACTGACAGTAGCCTGCTCAATACTATAGCTCTGTATTTTGTAGTTTAACAAGGGTGGATTTGAATTTCATGTGGCGCTTTTGATAAAAAGATACCAAGATTCATCCCAAAATCCCTAGATCAGTTAGTAACCGCGATATTTTTACATAAAAATGCTAACAAGAAATTATTTAAAGAAACCTTATGTTAACTAAACAATGTTTTATTTAGTTGAATTTTCCAGTAATGTTTATATTTTATCTCTAGGTCCTGTAAATACATTCAGGCGTTCAGCTTTGAAACGTCCAGTTTATGCTCCAGTTCCAGGTCTTGCTAGTAACACAATTCCTCCCCCCGTACCAACCCAACCTACATATCAAACCTATTTTACACCACCTCAACCTAGTGCTCCAGCAACCATATTTCAACCTTCCATATCTCCTGCTAGCTCCACTTCCTCAGTTCAAGACAATACATTTGCACTTCATAATCAATTTAAACCAATTAATCCTCAACCTGCCAGTTTCCCAGTTGTGAAGCCCAATATTCCTCATCCTCAACACCATCCTTTACAGTTAGGACCAGTCATGGATGCTATTCCAGCTAGTGAACTTTTGTTCTCGCAACCAGATGTTTTTCCTGAAGGTTCAAACGTACCTAAGCCTGTAAGTGCAATAATATGAAATCTTTTTATTTTGTTTCTTTTTGTAAGTGGCCTTTCCACATTTGTTTCTGGCAGTATCTATCTCTTTCTTAGCTTATATGATAATTTTGTTGGCTCTATTTCAAGAAATTGTTGTAGACGGTGCCAAGCCAAATTTTTTCACAAACACCATGTTATATTAGTTTGATACTCCCCAAATTATTTTATTTAGGTCTTGTTGCGTCAATCAATTATTGTTTTTAGGTAGAAAAATATGGAAATAACAGACCTTTTTCTCACAAGATTTTTTTCAAATGGTTGACCGGTTTCGGGCGTTTCACTTACAACCCTTCTTCAGAACCAAATTCCCTTTTTACGAAGAAGTTATCGTCGAGGGGACAATGTACCACTGCGGAGTTTCAAGATTAATGCTATGATAGTAATAAGAATGTTTTTGAATGTTTATTAAATTAATTCAACTCACATTTCACATTTCAAATGTTAGTTTGTAGGCTACCATAGAAAAGCATTTTTTAAGGGCTTTCAAATAAGGTATCACAAGTAGGGGGATTTCATTTAAGATAATTTAGTTGGGGTGGCTAGGGGTGAGTGAAAACAAGTTAGTTATTACATAATTTTGGTCCCCCCTATTTTTTATATTTTTTTTTGGTTCCTGAGATATAGCCATTGTAAGTTTTCAAAGTGACACCCTGTATGTATATACCTATCTAGGCTTTTATATTTACGTTTTTTTTTCTTCAATTTCCAATTTCATTTTACCTGCAACTTAGGACAATTTATTAATATGGCAATGGCAGATCTGCAGTAAGTGTCCGCAACTGATCTTAGATGGGGATTCAATGTTTGGGGCATCTTCTAATCATAATAAACCTATCTATTTTATGTGTTAATCTGAGATTTATACCTCTTTTCTCCCAAATTATGAGAAAATTAAAAGAAAATATTGTCTTTTGGGTAGCATATTTGAAAAAATTCCCCTATTAACAATATTTTGGAAGTTGCGTCCTGCGATAACCTATACCCATTTGTGACTGACGTAAAATATGTGGACATATCAATATTTTGACTGATAAATACTAGTAGCACCAGTACTTCATAGTTCATATACTCTCCACACAAAAAGTCGCAAAAAAGTTCATCTTTCAACGCTCATCTCTCAGACAGTAATACGTACAAGATTTGGTCGCATTTAGAGGTTAGAACTTAAATCCATATAAAAATATGGGCAAAATCCATAGAGCGCAAAAATCCCATGTTAGCAGTGCGTTATCCTTTCTTTGTAACTCTTACGGTATTTTGAGATTCTGAGAGAAACTTATTATTATTTATAGTGTGTCAACGAGTTTAGTGGCACGCAGACGTTAATTAAAATCGATCAAAAAATTGTCTTGCCTCGACTAGGATCTGAACCCAGGACCCTTGCATGTCCAGTGCAACGTTTTAACCAACAGAGATATCGAGACCTGTCTCATTTCTCTCCGAGATCTGTCTCATTCTGACCGAGACCTGTCTCATTCTGTCAGTTTTTCGTCAATTTAAAAATGTCAGTTGTGAAGACCAACGGCAACCTTCGGTGGTTACCCTTGGTATGGTAGTGGATTAGAAGTTGGTAGGATAATACATGCGGAATTAATGGCTGTTGGAATCCATTATCCTATCAACCACGGATGCATCGTCGACATATAGCAACATTAGCAGGCATGGGGACGCCCAACCATTATTATCCGCGAATATAATTTTCATTTTTTTCTGTTATACCGGGTGCCCACGAGATCACTTTCCGGCTGCCATTTTTTTATTTATTTATCGATATCAACGAAACTTGATATTCTAACCAAACGCCATTTTTATGCATTTATGACAAGTTTTCCCGACTTCCGGTTTCACCGGAAATGACAGCAACTTTTGATTTTTAAATGGCACACCCTGTATATTTTTTGTTTTTCGGATTCTACAGATCGTTTTACATCCTAATGCACCACTTTTGAATCGTTTTTGTCCAAATTTTATTTTTAAATTAAATTTTATTTTTTTAACTAGAGTGCCATGATCATCCTAAAATGACTCTACATACTTTACTTAAGTTCAGAAAAATACAAACTCAATTTTATCTTTGTAAACTTTTTTGATAGAGGGCTGTAAACTTCATTATTTTGGTATTTTTGCCCTAACTCAAAAACTAGAATAGAAACATATCACTTTCATGACATTACTAAATGCAGTTTTTTAAAGCGAATCCAACGATATAATACACTACGACATTTTTCTTAATTTTCGTTCAAATATTTCTTTTTTTTTATTTAGGTAATTTCTTTTTTCTACTTAAAATTTAATTATGAAAACGAAATTTGGACAAAACTCAATTTAAAAGTGGTACATTAGGACGTAAAACGATCTGTAGAATCCAAAAAACAAAAAATATACAGGGTGTGCCATTTGAAAATCAAAAGTTTCGGTCATTTCCAGTGAAACCGGAAGTCAGGAAAAATTGTCCTAAATGCAGAAAAATGGCGTTTTGTTAAAATATCAAGCCTACCAAGTTTCCTTGATATCGATAAACAAATAAAAAAAATGGCAGCCGGAAAGAAATCTCATGGGCAGCCGGTATATAAATTTATATAAAATACATGATATACTTTTTTGTACAAATTAAATAAAATATATATAATTTTAGATACCAACAAATAAAACCTATAGGCCAGTTTATCATCATTGGTTCCACAGAAAAGACAACAAAAGCTCATGGTCTCCTCTTTCCATGGTAGATTCACTTAGTTTAGAACATGCTTTTACTTCTAGTAAGTGTTATTTCGTTTAGTTTTTTGTATAATAATCTTTTTCGCTATTTATAGATGATTTAGATCCATCTAAGGTACTATCAACTGATGGTGGTCGATATGACGTTAATATTCTTCGACGTCAAAGAACACCAGTTTACTGGAAAGGAGCAATTTCCGAAGTACGACGTTGTTCTTGGTTTTACAAAAGTAACAACGACAGAAGCTACATGCCTTATGATGAAAACATTGCAACAAAATTGGAAGAAGAATTCAAAACTGCTTTTGAATGCAACCAGTGGAATAGAAGAGTAAATTTGGCAAATGGAGATATTGTTGAATTTCATGCTCCAGATGTTTTGGTATTATATCAGCCAACTCAAGCTAATGATGCGTGGACAAACGTGCCAAATCAGATCAAGCCGAGGGCTGTTAAACGAGGTATGGATGAATTTGATATTGATGAAGGCGAACCGCAGCACGTAGATCATCTTTTGTTTATGGTACACGGAATTGGATCAGTATGTGACTTGAAATTTAGGACTGTTGAAGAAGTCGGTATGTTATGAACTTACTGTTTTATAAGTTTATTTATACTCAGTCAAAATAAACAAAAAAAAGTGGTTAAATAACAAAAACTCGCATAGAGCTGAAAATTGGTACTGTAGTATAACATACCCAGGTTCGTTCAGTAAGATTAAACGATGAGAATTTTTATTACCTTTAAAACAACAAATCTTCTGAAAAATGAAATGAAAAACAAATAGGACCTACGTTGTGAAAACTTACTTAATTTTACTTACTGGACATGCGCCCGACATAGCAAATATTTGGGAAATTTAAGGGAAGCTGTAATATGTAAAAGAAACGCAAAATTTGTGAAACGCCTCCTTTATTTTCAAAAAAACGTACCGTTCTCGACCTGGAATTAACGAGGGAAAAGAGAACGGAAGAGAAAACCTTGATTCCCCAAAAATCGAAACATACTGTCAATAATTTAGGTCAATAAAAGTTCAAATTAGGTACCGCCCCTGTTCTTGTGCTAAAATTTCAATTACACACATTACATTCAATCAATACCACCTGTAATCAAAACTGAAGAGTTTTTGGTTAGTTAGCCCATCTGTGGCGGGAACCGAGGTCCCTTGTTACGGAAATCTTACGACTATAGTTGTTTTTGAGCCTATATCTCTAGATTGATTTTTCTCAATTTGCTAGGATATTCTCTCGTCAGAGAAATGCTGGGGTATCTTGGGTCGGGTTGGGTGGGTTTGGTACCTTTGTATTTTTCTGCCAGACGGATTCTTGCAAATAGTGATATTTAATTGATGAGTCGGCCATCGCTTTTAGTGCGACTCTAGATTTTGCACAAATTAAAGAAACCTGAGTCGTGCCTGAATCATCAATTGATCGTAAATAACAGCATGCTCCATATGCCCTTGTTGAAGCATCACTGAAACCATGGAGTTCTATCTTGATTGGGTTACTACACAAAATATGTCTTGGAATTTTGATGTTGTGAATTTCTGGCAATTGCGCCTGAAAAGAAGTCCAAACATTCAAGATGTCAGTGGGAACGTCTTCATCCCAATTTAAACTTTCCTGCCAGAGGACTTGAAGCAAAATTTTTGCCTTGATGACACAAGGACCAATCAAGCCCAAAGGGTCAAATATTTTAGCAACAGTGACTAAAATTGTCCTTTTCGTGATTTTGTTTTTGTGGGTTGAATTGACTGTATATTGAAAAAAGTCTTCTTGGGAGTTCCAAGTTAATCCAAGAGTTTTTGTGGGTTTTTCGTCAGTCATAATTTTTTGATTCGTAGATGATTTTTTGTCAAGTATGTTGTCTAGAAGCATGTCATTATTAGTTACCCATTTTCGCAGTCTAAATCCAGCAGTCCTGAGAATTTTGTCGACATCAGAAAATAAATTTTTGCCTTCTTCTATGGAATAGCAACCTGAAAGCAAATCATCCACATAGAATGATGATAGTATGACGTCATGAGCTCTTGGAAAAATATTTTGTTGTCAATAGGGTAGTGGACAATTTTTTGAAATATTTTTTTTATTAATCTCCATAACAAAATAAATAGTAGTTAATGATTCTTTGATTTTAGAAAACAAAAATATACCTAAAAAAAAATAAACAAAGGACCCCGCACACATCTTATGGGATTTTGGTGCCCGGTCAAATTTGATGAAAATTTGGTATGTTGTTCTTCTTGAGGTCCTGATCAAATGTGTCCATGGGCACAAATGAATCCTATGATTAGTTTCTGAAATACAGGGTGTTTAAAAAGTTGAATAGTCGATTTAAATTATGTGCTGACCAAACTATTTCCTATTTCTTGGGGCTTCTACGAAAGTGAGTAAGACGAAACAATATTTTTAAATAAATAAATGCTTGCACACATAATGCATCTGAATATCGTACGTTTCTATTTCAATTTTTTTGGCCCAATCATTTCTGAAATAATTACCAGTTAGATGCATATAAAAAACCCGTGCAGCAGAATATGGCAAATGCTGCTCGCTTCAATAATAAAAGCAGAGAGCCGTAGAGGCTGAAAAGCTGCTACGACATGGGCTTTGAAATAAATTCTAGGTATGACTTAATAATCTATGAAATAAAAAAAAAACACAGTTTTAAATGGTATAGCATATTTTCTTGTCAGCAGCTACAAAATATTATTAAAACAGAAAAAAAACATAAGAGGTCCCAGGTCTGTACACACTAAAACTAAGGCTATTTTGACCTGGAGAAGTCACTAGAATCAGTAATCCGAATTTGGAAGGCAAACGCGGATCAAAGTTGAAACAAAGGCATTCCCCAGGTCAACAAGTATTTTACTAAACTACTTTTTTTTTGAAAATCATTTATTACAGAACAAATACATACAAAAGAAGTTCAAAGTTTCTTTAAACAGTGTTCCAAACACTGGTCTCAAGAAAAAAAAAATACTGATAAATTCTAAATCCAACTATGCCGACCACCCGTGCAGCAGAATATGGCAAATGCTGCACGCTTCAACAATAAAAGCAGAGCCCTAGAGGCTGAAAAGCTGCTATGCCATGGACTTGGAAATGAATTCCAGGCATGACTTAATAATCAATGAAATAAAAAAAATCACAGTTATAAATGGTATAGCATATTTTCTTGCCAGCTGCTACAAAATATTATTCAAAAACATAAGAGGTCCAGGTCTTTACACACTAAAACTAAGGCTTTTTTGACCTGAAGAAGTTACTAGAACCAGTAATCTAAATCTGAAAGGCAAACGCGGATTGAAGTTAAAACAACTACATTCTTCAGGTCAGAAAGCATTTAACTAAACTACTTGATACAGTCATAAGGCCAATGAGGCCGACCACTAAATATTTAAATGCGAAAAATCAAATATCAATGTAATATAATAAGTTATCACACAAAATGTCACTTAAGTAAAGTAATATTAAAGTCCGGTAGCTTTCGGCCGTAGAGTAGACCGCCAGATCAACAGAAGTCTGTGGTAACGGCAACGGTGTGAAGCCTAGAAACAACTTAGTCATACATTATTGAAGAAATGAAGTAGTGGGTAAGTTGGGGTTGTCCAATCACTGTTAGTGGACAATGTCTGGCAAATCATTTACATCTGCTGCTGCAGCATCCCTAACATTCCTAAACATATCTCCGCTTGGAAAATTAATAATCGGTTGATGGCGACCATAGCTTAGAAACCATACTACAGTAGCAACGTGACAGCACATTCCAACTACTCTGGCACCAGATCGACATGAACAATAATATCCCAATATTAAATTCCTTTCTGTGTCGTAATTGATGAAAAGCTGATACTTAACAGAATTCCTGTGCCGAGATTTCATTCTTATTCGTAACAAATTAGCATCGTTTAATCTCGTATCGTATTCAAAACAATGATTCCCATCATTTTCGTTATTGTCTTGAATGTATGATGGGGCTAAACGCAATTGAAAAACTCCGAAAGTTAGATGTTGAAGTTCTTCTATGGGTAATATTGGAAAATCGAGCTGATCTTCAGTAAGAGGTTCCCATACTCCATGCCTCCGAAGTAATCCTTCTCTTTCCAGTCTTTCCTGCAATATGTTGCGCTGTTGTGACTTCAATAACATTTCACGGGCCAAATTCTCTGTCGCTTCTTCCATAACAATTGAGGGATGATATTTGTTTATTAAAGCACATGCTATCCTGATGTAATCGCGAATGTGTGGAATACTAGTATTAGGAATTTGGTCTCTGAATATTTTGAATATTGATTTCAGATGTCCATTTCGGGATTCGACTATCCACCTACATTTTGTTATAAGCCGAGTCTGATTTGCTTCAGCTGTTGTTAGCTGAGATCTTCGGCCAAGATGAGCGGGCATTTCAACTCGAATTCCAATGTCTTGTAAGAATTCCTGAGCATCTCTGTAACCACGATCAAGTACAAATATGTCTCCTTCTTGAAAATAATTTCGAAGTTGTCCAAGATCATTTTGATATTCGTGGGTTAACATTCTTGCATCGTTGTTACGAGAATTTGAAAAATATGGCCCATGCACATCTATTATGTAACCATCTGGGGAAACAATTAAAGCCGGCTTCAAGAGATGATATGATTTATGTACCGAAAATGATTTCCTAAGAACCTGAAAGTTTCTACTCTTTTGAATTTTCAAGTACGTTCCGTCAATAAAAGCAATAGCTTTTGGTAGCTGAGGCTCTGGATTATATAATTGATTAGCGAAAGGGGTCACATGCTCTCTAATGAATCGTTCGTGTGACATATGATCATATCCTAAGTTTTGATTCACAAAGGTTGCTAGAGAACTTGTAACTTTTGCAATGACGAGACTCGTTGTTTGTCTACTTGGATAGGAAAACATAGCAGTTAAAAAATTATCTGATAAACCTTGTTTAAGTTTACATAAAAAACATATGAGATCTTTTTTCGTTATTACTCTTGACCTGTTATATATGACCACATTATTACAACTATCAAAAACAGCGTTGAACTGTTCTTTTGTTAATGAGGTCAAAGATTTCATCTCATCATCTGTATAATTACTTTCATCATCAAACTTGTTAAAATCATTTACGTTGTTCCAAAGTTGAGAAATGAAAGCATTTAATTCGGAACCTTTAAGTGTATAAGGCCTCGTGATACCCCTGAAGCCATTTTGCAAGGGAGCTACCACCAGTTGATGAATAGTCAAATGACCGGGACATATTCTGGAACCATCAGGAATAAAAATGTCTTTTCTTACAAATACGTCAACTCTGGCATTTAAAGAAATACGCTGGAAAGCCTCTTGATTACAAACAATACAGTTACGACGGCGGTTAAAAAGTACCTTGAAAACAGTTGGATCGGGATCTTCAGCATAAACTTGAAGCTCTTCTAAAATACTTTGATAGCACGTGAAACATATTCGAGAGTTATCATTTGGGTCCTCGTCCAGAAGTTGCAGTTCTTGCCTCCGTTTAACTGCCGTGTTTCTAAGCTCCTCATTTTGGACAAAAGGAATTACTTGTCGAGGAGCATTGACAGATTCAC